TCCACAATCACTTCTGGTACCAGCAGTCAGGAGATTGGGAGATGTACAGCACTGGGAAAACATGCAGTCAGAGAACTCTCCAAATTACTGAGGAGCAATGAAGTTAGTGTAAGGACTAAGATGGGCCTAATTCAGGCTCTGCCTTTTCTATTACATGTTATGCATCTAAGATCTGGACAAGGAATAAGGATGACAGAAGAAGACTGATAATTTGAGCTGTAGTGTTAGAGAAGTGTTGAATACCCCATGAACTGTGAAAAGAACAAACAGCTATGTCTTGGAGAAGGTGCAGTCAGAGTTCTCATTGGAGGCAAGGATGGTGAAGCTTCATCTCACATACTTTGGGTATGTTGCTAAGAGGCTATTCCTTGGAGAGAGATATTATGCTTAGGGAGATGGAAGGTCAGCGAAAGAGAGGAAGACCCTTAGCAAGGTGGATTAACACATTGACTGCAGCAATGAACTTGAGTGTGTCAGAGATGATGTGTAGATAGTACAGGGTTCAGATCTGTTGTTCATAACATTGTTCTGAGTTGTGCTTGACTCAGTGACACTTAACAACAACAAGGGAAAACAACTTAATTCAGTGGCACTTAGCAACAGCAACAAAAGTCATTAACTATTGGTCCAGTGACGAGGATTTTTATTTTCTTGATGTTGAGATGTAATCTGTACTGAAGCCTGTAGTCTTTGATCTTCTGCAGAAGCATTTCAAGCAAGCAAGGTTGTGTCATCTGCAAACACAGCTTGGTGAGTCATCCTCCAATCTTGATGCCATAATCTTCTTCAGAGGATCCAACTTCTTGAAGGATTTCCTCAGCATACATGCTGAATGTTGTTGTTGTGTTAAGTGCTGTCAAGTATGATGCATAGTCACCCTATGAACAAAAGATCTGAACCCTGTTCTATCCTGAGCCACTTTCACACTTCCTGACACACAAGAGCCCATTGCAGCAGTCACCACATCAGTCCACCTGGTTGAGGGTCTTCCTCTCCTTCACTGACCCTCCACCCTTCATTGCATTATGCCCCTCTTCAAGGAATAGCCTCTCCTAGTAACATGCCCAAAGTATGTGAGGTAAAGCCTCATCATTCTTGCCTCCAAAGAGCACTTAGGCTGCACCCTTTCTGAGACATAGCTATTTGTTCTTTGGCCGTCCATGGCATGTTCAGTGCTCTTCTTCGTCACAACAGCTCAAAGGCATCAATTCTTTTTCTGTCATCTGTATTCATTGTCCAGCTCTCACATGCATTTCAAGTGATCGGAAAGACTATGGCCTGAACCAGACACAACTTAGTCCTCAAATTGACATCATTACTCCTCACTCCTCAATAATTTGGAGAGGTCCCTAACTACAGACTTTCCCAGTGCAATATGTGTCACCTGATTTCCTGACTGCTGGTACCAAGGGTGCTTATTGTGGATCCAAGCAAGTTGAAGCTGTTGAGAGTTTCAATCTCCTCTCCGTTCATCATGATGTTGCCTATTGGTCCAGTGGTAAGAATCTTTGTTTTTTGTGTTGTTGGGTTGTTTTGGGTTTTTGTTGTTGTTGGTTGTGTGTTTTTTTTTTAATCTTTGCTTTTTTGACATTGAGATGCAATCCATAACGAAGGATGCATTCCTTGATCTTCTGCAATAAGTGCTTCAAGTGCTCCTCATTTTCAGCAAGTAAAGCTGTGTCATCTGCATATCACAGGCTATTGATGAGTCTCCCTCCAATCTTGATGTCACATTCCTCTTCATAGAGTCCAGCTTCTTGGGTAATTTGCCCAGTATACAGATTGAATAAGTAAGGAGACAGAACACATCCCTCATGCACTCCCTTTCCAATTTCAAAGCACGCAGTGCTCCCCTGTTCCATTTGCACAACAGTCTCCTGGTCTAGGTATAGGTTCCTCATGAGCACCATCAAGGGCTCTGGGATTCCCATTCTTCTCAGTGTCAGCCACAACTTGTTATGATCCACACAGTCAATAGTCAAAAAAGTACAAATAGACATTCTTCTGGTATTTCTTACTTTCAGCCAGGATCCATCTGACATCAGCAATGATATCCCAGGTGCCATGGCATCTTCTAAATCCTGCTTGAACTTCTGGCAGTTCCATCAAATAAGTATGGAGAAAGGATACAACCTTGATACATACCTTTCCTGGCTTAAAATCATGCAGTTATTTCCTGCTCCTTTTGGACAACAGCTTCTTGGTCTAGGTCTAGGATTTGGGGGTTTTATCTTGCTTTGTTTTAGGTATAAGTTTTGCATGAGCATAATTAAGTGTTCTGGTGTTCCCATTTTTCTCAGTGCTCTGAATGGTAGCAATAATATGTTGTGATCTACACAAAGAAATGTCTTTGCAAAGTCAATTAGACACAGAGAGACATCCTTCTCATACTTTCTGCTTTCTGAGATCTATTTGGCATCAGTAATTATATCCCTGGTGCTATGGTCTCTTCTAAATCCAACTTGAATTGTTGGCAGTTCTCTGTCAATGTACTGTTGTAATATACGGTTCTAGATTTTTTTAAACAACCTTCAGCTAAATCCTTCCCATTGGGCCAATAGGCAGCATCTTGATAGGTGGAAAAAAGAGTGAAGTTGTCAATGATTTCATATTACCAGAATCTACAATCAAAACTCTTGTTACCAGCACTCAAGGAATCAAAAGACATATCACTTTAGGATAGTCTCCTATAAGGAACCTCTCCAAAGTAATGACGAGCAAAGAAGTTAGTTTAAAGACTAAGGTGCACTTGATCCAAGCCATGGCCATTTTGATTACTTGTTAGACATATGAAAGTTGGACAATTACAAGGATAACAGAAGAAGGCTTGATGCCTTTGAGTTGTGATGCTGGAGAAAACTATTGAATGCCCCATGCACTGCCAAAGGAACAATCAGGTATGTCTTGGAGCAAGTGCAATTAGGGTGCTCCCAGAATAAAGGATGACAAAGCTTCATCTCACATACTTTGGGCATGTTCTTAGGAAGAGCCAGTCCATGGAGGACAACATGCTTGGAAAGGTGGAGGATCCGCGTAGGAGAGGAAGACCCTCAATAAAATGGATTGGCACAGTGATTGTAACAATAAGTGGTTCAATTATCTTGAAGATGATGAGGATGGCACAGAACAGGACCCTGTTCAGATCTGCTGTTCACCAGGTGGTGATAGGACATAACTGACTCCAGAACACTTAACAACAAGTCCTTGTTGTTGCCTAGTGGCAAAAGAGCTGCACTGCCAACCAACAGTAGGCAGTTCGACTCCACCAGATACCCTGTGGGAGAAAGGTGGGCAATCTCCTCCTGTGTGATTTACAACTACTGAAAACCCATCGGAGGGTAGGTTATGAGTCGATTCCAACTTGACATTACAGAAAAACAACAGTCAGAAACTTGATCAACTGCTGTGTGCACCTCTGCACGGAATCCCAGGGAGGATGGGAAGCCGTGTGGCCCTACTGTTTCCAGTTCTATGCCCTTCTGGGTACAACTGACGTCAGCGTGGTCTGGTTGTCTCGAGTCTAAACTAAACTTGTCAGGCAAAGCTGGTGGGTGTTGAACCAAGAACCGCAAGAAAGGCCATGCCATGAATTCTGTAAATGCCTCAGTCTCCATAGTTCAGTCCCGTGCTGGTGCTTGGCAGGAGCTCAGAGGAGAATGAATAAACAAATAGGTAATTCTGCATCTCAAAAGATATGTGATGAATTTACTTACCTTTTTGGAAGTTTCTGATAATGGGAATTAGGTCAGGATAGTTCTCCAGGTTCCTTGAACAAAACACTATGTTCAAAAGTTTAATATTAACGGTCTTCTCAATTTCGTGGAGAACATTGTACATGACATGAGGTAGAGGGACCAGGTTACTACAAGATATTTTAGAGTCCTTAAAAAAAGTGAATGGAGAAAATATCAATATAGGACTTCCAAATTAGAGACAAGTAAGAAAAAAATGACAGAATGAATTTTAATTAAATAACAGAATTTTAAAGATAATGTATTTTCATTTCCCAAGTTGAGTATCTTCCAATTGACATTTTAGAGTTTCTGGAGTCATATGGTTACTAAATGAAGCAAGTACATTTTTCCTCCTCAAACAAAAATACTTACTTGTAAATCTGAGTTCTCCATTCTCATATTAGAGGTAAGAAGGAATAATCTTGAAATATAAAAATGAATCCAAAGCTAAATGATGTCTAGCCCTTTAAGAACCTGGCCACGCTGTTTTAGGACTAGTCTTAGCAGGAGATGGATGATTATTTGTCTCAGCGGATAGCCACTGCACTTACCCCAAGATTATTGGCTCACAAGGTCTCCAGGAAGTTAGTCAAGTAATCGGCTATGAACTTGACCATCTGAAAAGCATACTCATAGGTCAAAGAGAAGACTCCCTCGTGGGCATCTCCATGAAAGCCTACTGCTAAACTTTATATTTCAAGACTCTGGAAACATCCTCATACTCACCACTTCCATCCCCCCCCCCAAAAAAATGGAGAGAAATAAAGTAGAAAAATGGAAAGCTGTTGGAAAAAGAATCTGTAAAGGAAACATCAGTATCTGTTCCCAAAATGACAAGACTTCAATTCCCTCTGTGCTTTGATGTTTTCAGACCTGAGTATTTTAAGTTGATGCTAGTGGAAAGAAAATGCTGGGCCAGTTATTTATATTTTAAATTTTTGTTTATATTTTATTGCATCAGTTCCTACAAAATTTTAATGGGAACATACCTGCTTCTGTCTCAGGCCATCTTTGGCTCTCTTCATTTCCACTCCAAAGGCCTTGGAGAGACAGTTACTGCATTGGGAAGCAGGAACATCCCAGGGGAGCTCTACTATTCCCTCATTTTTTACCTTCCCGGAATATTTACAGGAACACTTGGCAAATTCCCTGTGTTCACAGAAGGTCCTTTAGCTAACTAGTTGCGTTCTAAACTTTGGATCCTGAATATGAGAGCAGAATGCAGAGACTTGTAAACTAAGTTGTGGATTTATAAATTTCACTTACTTCAAACAACCTTTCGCTGATGAAGCCATGATCTCGAAGCAACTCCAGGAAAGGAAATGTCCTATTGATTGCACTTGCAATCTCCACCTTCTGTTCTCTGTAGACAGTGAGTATAGCTTGACGGAAAAGGATCAGTTTGTTCTCCTCTGCAAGGGACATGCTGCGGGGGCAGAGAGACCATCTGAGAATGATGCTCAAGATGCCAGTGTCCTTACAGAGGCTGTAAAGTTTTATATACATTTATAAAATAAGTGGTCATGACTAGAGACTTGAATAAACGGAGTTGAAATAATAACCAAAGACAGAAGAGAACATGGATTTTTAAAAGACTTACACGTGGCCTTGAAAAACGTTAATGTGTTCTGTTGAAAGCTATTGTAAAGATATTTTCTTCACCTAAATATCTCTGGGAAATTGTTTTTTGTTTGTTTTTTTTTTCTTTCTTGTTGTGTATCGGCTAATCGAATCCAACCAGCACAGGAGGAGATCGCCCAAAATTGTTTTATTTAAGATTGTTGTTGTGTACCACTGAGTTGGAACCAACTCATAGCTGACTCTCCAGTGGGTTTTCAAAGATAGAAAATTGCACAGAAGGAGATTGTCCATCCTGAGGAGCAGCTGGTGGATTTGAACCTCGTGCCTTTAGGATTGCAGCACAGTTTCTTACCACTAAGCCACCAGAACTCCCTATTTAGGATTGTTGTTGTTATGTGCCATTGAGTTGTTTGTGACTCATAGCAACCCTATGTAAAACAGCCCTAAACCCTGCTCTATCCTGTGCCAATCACATTAACTCTGACAAACCCATCCCAATTACCCCAGTCACTGAATCAATCCACCTCATAGAGGGTCTTCCCCTCCTGCGTCATCCCTCCACCCTCCCAAGCATGTTGTCCCTCTCCAAGGACCTGTCTCTCCTTACAACATGTCCAAAGTATGTCAGATGAAGCCCCAGAATCCTTGTCTCCAAGGAGTAGCCTGGTTTAACCCTCTCCAGAATGAATCTGTTTGTTTTCTTGGCAGTCCATGGAACATTCAATACTGTTCTCCAGCACCACAGCTCAAAGGCATCAATTCTCCTTCTATCCTCCCTAGTCATTGTCCAACTCTCTGATGCCTAACAAGTGATTGCAAAGACCATGGCTTGTTTCAGGCACACCTTAGTCTCCAAAGAGACACTGTTGCTCTTGAGTACTTTAGAGAGGTCCCTAACAGCAGACTTTTCCAACGCAATATGTTTTTTTATTTCCTGGCTGCTGGTGTCAAGAGTATTTAGGATTAAGTTGTTCTAATTAAGACAAAAATAGTCAGAACATCGGCAGGAAGAGGATGCCCCCACAGTCAGGAAAGGAATCCTGTCCAGGAAGGGAGCATGAGGCTGAAAAGTGACGTGTGACTTGCAAAATCAAGAACAAAACAACCCACCTCTTCTTGCCTGTCAGCTGATAACCTACAAAAAAGGTGCAGTCTTTTTAGGCAAGAGTTTTTTGTTTTGTTTTGTTTTAGGGTTTCCAATCATTCATTGTTGCACTCTTCTCCCTGCCTACTCCCTCTCCCTCAATTCCCTCTTCTTGAAAAGTAAAAGAAAAACTCTTTCATTGTTATGCAATCCCTTGCTGCAAGTCCAGTCTACTGTGCAGCCTTCATTCTAGACTCCTGTTGTGACAATAATACCCCATCATACATCCCTTTTAAACAGTTCTCTCTCTCATCTGCTTCAATGCAGAATACATCATTCCTCCCCTCCTTCTCTGTCTTCCCTCAACCCCGATGTCAGTTCCATTTTACAACAGTAGCCCTATGCAATATTTGTCCTTTTGTGACTGAGATATTTCACTCAGCATAATGTCCTCCAGGGTCACTCATTTTGTATATTTCATGAGTTCCTTGTTTTTCAATGCTGCATAGTATTCCATTGTATGAACACACCAGAGTTTCTCTATCCATTCGTTTGTTGATGGGCATTTAGGTTGTTTCCAACTCTTTGCTGTTGTGAACAAAGCTGCAATAAACATGGATGTGTAGGTATCTGCTTGAGTGGTAAGATTTTTTTTAATAAATAAATGATTAAAAGAAATAAAAGACAACAATAAAAAGGGGCAAACTTCCTATCACTCAACAACATGGGAAATGAGCTAAGAAGATAGGCACAAAGTGCATTTTTTAAACAAAGAAACAAACAAAATGTATAAATACTTTAGGATGTTGTTGTTATGTGCCATCAAGTCACCTGCAACTCATAGAGACCCTATGCACAACAGCTAGAGTTTCTTCCCCCGCCCCTATTTTCCCCTCGTTATGTGCCACAAGCCACCTGCAACCCATAGTGACCTGATGTACAATAGCTCTGAAGCCTTCCCTGTCCTGAGCCGATCTCACTGACTCCAACACAACTACCCCCATTGCTGCAGTTACTGTATCAATCCATCTCATGCTGGGTCGTCCTCTCCTGCAGTCCTTCCACCCTTCCAAGCATGATGTCCTTCTCCAAGTGGGTAAAACAGATTCTAACGAACAAGCACTTATGTGCAGCTCCTGTCACTCCCAATAACCACAGTGGTGAGTTTGCTCCCTTAGGCTCCTGGGATAAAGCAATTGGGCAGCTCATTTGTTTCTTGTCTGGGCAAGAGGACCAGGTCCTGTAACCCTAGGGGGCAGCAGCAGGAGGTGGCTCTGCCGGCCTTTCCCCACCTCAGCCGGGTGAGCGTTTCTGACATAACCAGGATCTGGGCCTAAAATCAAGAGCAAGCAGCCTCCTTCACTGAGACGCAAGGCAGGGCTCAGGGCTTATCAGCGCTCTTTGAGAGACAGGTGAGGGCATCTATTAGAAACTTTGAAAAGAGGCATGAGGAGACCCCGAGAGACCAGCTGCTGTTTTTAGGTTCCACGAAGTTGACTACAGCTCACGACTCGCTGAACAATAGATCTGAGCCTTGCTCCATCCTCGCAGTCTCTGCCCGCCTCGAGCCCACTGTGGGCCTCCACGCATCACTCCAGCTCCTTGGGCGTCTTCCTTTCTTTCACTGATCTCCTTTGATCTTTCTCAACATGTGTCTTTTTCTAATGACTTGTTTCTCCTGGAGATAAGTCCAAAGTAAGGGAGACATAGTTGTACCAGCCTTGCCTTTAAGGAGCGCTCTGGTTGCACGTCCTTCAAGACAGATTTGTTCGTTTTGTTTTTTTTTTGTTCGTTCTTTTGACAGTTCATAGTATAATCAGCACTCTTTGCTAACACCACAAGTCAAAGGCATCTATTCTTCTTCAGGCTTCCTTATTAATTGTCCAATTTTTAGATGCATAGGAAACAATTGAAAATATCAAAGTTTGGATCAGGCACACCTTGTTGTTGTTTGTTACATACCATCGAGTCACCTTTAATTCATACCAATCCTATGTACAATAGCTCTGAAGCCTGTCCTGTCCTGAGCCAGTCTCACTGACTATGACACACCTACCCCCAGGTTACCCCAGTTACTGTGTCAATCCATCTCATCCAGGGTCTTCCTCTCCTGCCCTGTCCCTCCAGCCTACCAAGCATGATGTCTTTCTCTAAAGACAAGTCCCTCCTGGCCACGTGCCCAAAGTATGTGAGATGGAGCTTCAAAATCTTCGCCTCCAAGAAGAAACTTGATTTCACCCTCTCCAAGTTTGTTCTCTTGGTGGTCCATGGTATGTTCAACATTCTTCTCCAGCATCACAACTCAAAGGCATCAATTCTTCTTCTGTCATCCTTATTCATTGTCCA